TCCTTTACTTTTATACTTTATTAGTGCAAGAACAAATTAACATTAATCAATTTATTAAATTAAGTTTTTGATTCTACCTGGCTGTTCTTCTGTTGTCTGGATCTTTCAGGAATCCTCCCCGATGTCTGCGTCTATGTCGCATAGGCATCGGGGAGGAGATCACAGCAGGAGACACAAAAACACTGATGGTTTCCAGCCTGTGAAGTGACAGGCTGGGAACCGATACTGGAACCGAGAACTGGTGGCCAGTCTCTCTGTCAGTGGTGCCACTGGGCTTGTTTTGTCTGGCACTTGGATGAAAGGGACAACTGCGGTGGGCCCCTGTATATTATAGGGCCTAGGGCAGTTGCCCCTTTTGCCCTGCGGTAAAGATGGTCCTTCATAGTGGTGGCAGTCAAATTGAAAAATGTGTTTGCGTGGTTCTACTATAGCTACTCTGCCTTTCTCCCCAAAAAATACTGAGTGGTTCAATGGCACCTGGCCAAATGGTTCTTCTGAAACTGTACCTTAGACTCTGTACCTTAAATCTCCCTTAGGGCAAGGACTGTTGTGAATTGTTCTTTGTACTTTGTAAAGTGTAGTGTAATATACAGTGTAATGTAGTGTACTGTAATATATGTGATACAGAAATATTAAAAAATAAAGCAAAAATCTAATACAACTTTTAATTCAGGTTTTATAGGGCTAACACGGGAAGATATTATTATCAGTTGCTGTTGTCACATGTACACATCTGCAGGCATAAAGAGCCAAGGCTGTACAATCATGGCAAATTGTCTGCAAAGAGATATGCATGCAAATTGCCCCAATTAATTTGCTAATTGCATCCAGTGTTTGTACTTCAGATCTTGTAAGTATCTGACTTGGCTGTACACCACAGAGCAAGTGGTGCTGCATTTTGCATTTGTTGTCAGGAAAGCACGCAATAAAAGTATTGGAAAGCTCTAATGCCCTAAATACTATGCCAGATTTCTAGCTATTGCCAGAGCTGTATGCTGGGAACTCGGTTGGCTTTTATCAGTAACTGATTACTCTGGGAAAACTTTCAGTGCAACACACCTTTAAAACAGAAAGGTAATAAAGTTTGTGATATTGTAAATAGTGGTTGTGTTGGAGCCTGCTTGGTTTACTAACAACATATATAACCTTGAAAAACAGGTGCTAATTCACAAATGAATACACCACTAGCAGTTTGTGAACTGCTGGTATATAGATGCACAGTGGGTGTGACCTGCCTCCTGTGGATAGTAAAAGGTGCCCATACACTGGTCAAATTTCAGCCGGTTTTTAATGTACCAGCCGAAATTTGCACAGTGCGTGGAGCTGTCGGCTGTCTTTCATCTGACATTCTTCGACTGGAAAATTTTCGATCGATGAGAGGTGGAAGCCAATGAGTTGCCTGCTCTGATTGGGTATTCTAACAGGTGCCTTGTCAGAATACAATGTAAACAGCGGGATTCCTTGATTGACACGCTGTTTGTGTAAATATTTTTTCGTTCAGCCCACGGGTTGAACAAAAGAAAAATTGATAGGTGTATGGCCAGCCTAAGGGGTCTATTCACAAAGCTGCCGAGGGCAGCCGAGTGAATGACCGATCTGAAGTGAAGTGAGCCGAACACTGTTCGGCTATTCACTTCAGGCTGGTACGGCTAATTTCAGAAGTACATTCGCTGCACAAAGCCGATTTCAGAGAGATCAGCGTCCCTGGTTGCTAACCAGGGACACTGATCTCGAAACAGCTGACTTTCCCTGGCCCCCGGGCATTTCAGAATAGAGAAGGAAAAAAAAAAGAAATTCCCATTAAAAAGCATTGGGACATTACTATTGGCTATTTCAATTTGCAATAGCCAATAGTAAACTAGCATTGTACCAGCCCTCTGCTGATGGACCTGATGGGGAACTGCAAAAGAGGGCGGGTACAATGCTAGTTTACTATTGGCTATTGCAAATTGAAATAGCCAATAGTAATGTCCCAATGCTTTTCAATAGGAAAAAAATATTTATTTATTTTTTCTCTATTCTGACATCGATCGTCAGAATAAAGAAAAAAGGACACCTCAGTGTTTCTCTCCTTGGCGGCCGGGAGCAGGAGACTCCCGGGGCGATCAGTGCAGTTCTGTTATTCACAGTCAATATATGCATTTTTTATAAATTTTCCTGCATGCTGTGGTATTTACTAACTTTTAATTTTTCTCCACTTCTGAGGACAGTTGGAGTGCTGGTGGTGAGGAAAAGAGTTGGGGTTCACTGCTATTCAAAAAAAAAAGGCTGCCCACCTACTACAATGTAGGTGGAAGGGAAGGCAGCAGTAAAAAAAAAACATAGAATGCGGTGCGGTGTGGTGTGGTACGGACCTGATAAGAAAGTCCATGTGAAAGGTCTCTAAAGGGTTGAGTTTTATTTTAGATCACATTTTTATGAGTCATGAAACTCATGGGTTTCCAGAGAGTTTAAGCAAAATATAAAACAATTTCTAAAACAAGTAGATTTAAAATAGTCGTAAGCATCACAAGCCCCAAATGAGGTGTGCTATAATGCTATAACATTTATTTTAATAACCCTTGTGATTTAAAAATTTAACAATAGTTCCCCTGCTAAGTATACCTACTAATTAATAAATTAGCAGCTAAAATTCCACAAAGGGCTTACCAATAGTTTTCATTTTCTAATATCTAAAATGTTTTACTAGCTTACTTGTCCTTCCTATGTGTCGACACATGTCTGCCTTGACCTATATTTGTCACAGAGCTTGAAAGTGGAAACAAGGTGTTATGCTGTGGGGCTGAAAACTTACACCAACATTGCATTAAAACTGCTCTCTAACAAGACAATTATTCTGTGCCTTCTCTGTCATGATAGCAGGCTGTGGAACTGTGAGGAGCATCATACATTGCCAATGTCATTGTGTACCAGAGATTTATGAAAAAGGTGTAATTGCAGTCTCTAGTGCTTATGGTTTTTCAATCTCTGTCATATCACACAGTTTTCTTTTAGCAGAAAATCACTGATTTATTCAGAAAAAAAATTAATGTTGCATATGTGAAACAAATATGAGCAGATACGTTACCTGATCTTGACAATTTTACCAGAATTAGGTGACAATTAGAATTTCTGTTGCCACCATAAAACCTCATCAATAGATTAGTGCATTTGTAAATAACGCTTCAAATTTTTGATAAAAAATGTTCTGTCCGCAGAATCAAGCCCTGCAATCTATTTTGTAGGGTAAGATATTGAAGCAATCCGCAAGCCTTTCTCTCTCTCTTTTGTTTTATTTGAAAAGAAAATACCAATCCCCACACTTTAAGTGGACTGATAAAGAAGAGCTTTTGAAATTTACTCAGAGTGAATAGGTATACAAGCTATAGTATAAATATAATGTATTCTTCCACTAGACAGCCACTCCCAAAATATGAATATACCACCCGCAACCACACAGACCTTGCAGAGATAGAATATTTGAACAGGCTAATATTCTTTGGGATGAACTCAGTAGCATTTTGAGGAGTGTATCACCTTACTGTCTATATGCAGAATTGACAGGGAGACTTACTTTAATACCAGTGGGTCTTTGCATCTACCTAACAGGTGTTTAAAGGCAGTTTGTCCACCAAATACCATTTTGTTTATTATCTGTATTCCTGTCTGAGATAAGCATTATGCCCAAATAAGAACAGCTATTCTAATACAGAGATTTACTGGTAGTGCTGTAAGAGGACTGTAGTAATGGTGAAGAACTGGATCAGTTTCCCTATGAGCAACTGCCATTATCACTAGTGGTGGGCCAAACAACCCCGTGTTGGGTTCAAATTCAAACTTTAGAATATGGAAAAAGTTTGAATTTGAACTCGAATTCAATGCAAGTCTATGGGACCCGAACTTGAAAAATCAATTGTCCCCTTTTTGAAGGCTTATATGCAAGTTAATGGCCAAAAAAAGGTTATGGGGATTTGAGTACTGGCCTGGGGGACATGTATCAGTAAAAAAACCAACACTTTTAAAATATAATGTTTTTAAAGGAGCAGTGATTTTAATATCGCTTAAAGTGAAACAGATGAAAGTTTATTTGTAGCCTCAGACAGCTCTTCTCTCACAACCATTCTAATATTAGCCATAAAAGCATCAGATGGCATGGAAATGGGCTGAGACGTGGGCGTGTGCAATGTCTGACAGGCAGCTGCGTCATATGAGTCATTGAAGAGGTCAGGGCAGTCCGTCGGGATTATGATCGACGCCATCTTGGATTTAGTACCTGACGATTTCTGGTCAGATTTGGGCCGCTGTTTTTGCTTCTCGGATCTATTCATACTGCCCAGACAAAGCCGAACAAGTATCGGAGCAGAGAGAGCGGGTGAGTGGGGTCCCCAGAGAAATATGTATAGCATAAGAGGGATTTCTTTGCCCAGGCGATGTGCAGTGGATTAAACGAGCGACCATCTCCAACGCCGCGCGCACGCGCCTCCTCCATAGTCTCTGTTCTAATCTTTGTACTGTCATTTTAGAATAGCCTGGCAATCAAAAAATTCTACCTATGTTTTTCTTTTCCCCCCAGCGGAGGCAAAGCTCAGTTATTCGCAGGTTTCTGTAGACAAGCTGCTCCATGATGTCTGCACATTTCTGCTTAACTACCATACTACTCTTTAGCAATGTATTATTTGCACAATAGGAACATAGTACCAGCAGCAGTGTTTCATGAATACTGTTCACAGCTTTTGGAGAAGACAATTTTGAACAATCTTTTAAACTATATATAATAGTAATATCTGTTCTCAGGATGTTTTGATAAACACTTTGCTTAAACACATAAGTAAATTTGATTGAAGTTGCAACAGAAAAAAGAGAACATTCAAGCTTTTAGTATCACTGAATTTAAAGGAAATGAAAGATAGGCTATTAAAAGATGTGTATAGATGTGTAGAAACAGTGTAGTGGTTACTTCTCACTGACATAGTAAAATATGCATTTTATATTTGCTTCTCACCACCTTGTTTTTCCTGCAGCAATGCATCTTCTCGGACTGAACTGGCAGCTCCAGCCAGTGGATGCACATACATTCAACAATGGGATAAAAACAGACAGAGACAATGTTGCAACAATGCCATCTGGAGGTGAGGTTATCAACAATTCTTCCTTCTGCAGTGATTGACTGTATACATCTGTGTCCATCTACTCGCATACTTTTTCATTCTCTGTATAGATCTTTTTTTTTTTTAACTGCCAACTAGAATTATTATATTCCAAACTAATAAATACTTTGTAACTAAGCTTAAAGAGATTCACGGTTCCATGTATACTGCTGAATTAAGTAACACCAATCAGTATTTTCTGTCTGTATTACTAGTTAAAGTCAGCATTCCTGTAATATATATTTCCTTTTTAATGTTTATTTCTGCCTACCTTCTTAGACTTTTTCTGTAGTTCTTTTGTTGTACTACTTTGACATTTTTCAAATGCACAGCAAATATACAACTATTGTTGCCTACATATAATCTAACATATTGCCTACACAAATAATTTCTGTGAACATGTTTCTGCTGATTCAGTGTTTTTGGACCGTAATGCACACCATAATATCCCATTTAGCACCATAGCACCAAGGTGCTTCAAAATAAAAGTAATCTTGAGGCAACAATTAAATGAAGAAACCTATCTCATTTAATATGTGCTTGAATGAAAGAAAAAGGAGAAGTTGCGTTTTAAAAGTGACATTAAACCCTCAGATTTTTTAACATAAACCAATACTGTAATGTGTCCCTTACTGTAATCCATGGTAGTTTCCCTTCTCTTTGCTGCTCTTCCTTTTAAATCCTCATGTCTTCTCATGCTGAGGGAGAACTTCCCTTTGCAGCGGAGTGCCTCTTCCTGTAGTGCTGGCTCAGGTTGCAAACCTACACACAGACACCATGTATCCATTTCAGAGACAAGGCAGTCTGCTGCAAAACAGAAGTTCTGCCCAGCATGAGAACAGATACAGATTTAAAAGGAAGAGCAGCAAAGAGAAGGGGAACAACCATGGATTACAGTAAGGCACACATTACAGTATTGTTTTATGTTAAAAAATCTGAGGGTTTAATGTCACTTTAAGGTGGACTACCAGGAAATTAAAATAGAATTTATTTTATGTAGTCAGTGAGAAAAAAATCAAATTAAAAGTTACTATGAATATTTAAAACATATTTAATTACTAACTTTGCATAATTCCTTGCACATCAGGAAGCATGCTGCCAGTGGGAGCTGTTTCCTTCTGGGTCCATTTACATGTTTCCATGCTATTAACATATAGTACTGCGCAACACACCTAATGTGTGTTACAGTGGGGTAGGTACATTGCGTTGCCATTCATATGAATGGCTCCCCAAATGCACCTCTCAGTCGCAATGCACTGAACCAAGCCGCAAAGTTTGGTATCACCAACAGTTAAAAAAAGTAATACCTTTGGTGGGAAGTGGTTCTTTTAGTAATGCTTAAAGCAACATTCAGAATTCCATTAAATAATATGCTTGGGGGGTGCCCTAAACCTACAGGTGGTGCACCTGTAGAATGTATGTGATGCCCCTCCAAAATATATACAAGACACTTTTCTGAGCATGCAGAAAATGTAAACAGTGAGTATGGAGAGGGTGCCTTGCTGGAAGGGTACATATTACCCATACTCATTCACCAAAAAAAAGTTTGAATGTAATATAAAATCGACACTGTTGAAAAAGTTCATTAAAAAAAGACCTGATGTAAATTCATCATCAATCAAGTATTCCAGAAATGCAGATCCTTTGCAATCATGATGAACAGTGCCCTCCAACCCATCCAAAGCATGGTCATGACTAGTTGGCAAACTCTGAACATTCAGATCGAATCCTCTATTGGGCCGAACCTAACCGTTACTCCTAACTTCAAACATGTCTTCCTCTCTTCATTACTTAGAGGCTGATTGTATTAGTAGTTTACCAAAGATAGATAAGGCTGTGTGTTTTTTCTATTAAAGCTAAACTCCAGACAAACTGATAAATACACAGATAAATGAAAAGTTTTATCTGCCAAAGGAATCGTATATTTGTCCTTCCAAAGCTGAGATTTGTACATCATTATCATACTGCACAGCCTTGTCTAGCAGGACAGAAGACCTCATTTTTATCTGCTGCAGTTAAAGAAAATGTACAGGTCTTGCCCCCCCCCCCCTTCAGCCATTGACTGGATAATCAAAAGAGAAGCAGCACATTGATAATCTTATCTCTCTGTCACTATACTCTCTCATTCTATCAGTATGTTTCCTGTAAGCACTGCGGCACATCTGGTTGGCTTCTTGCACTGCTTCTTCCTCTTCCAGCCTGAGCTCCACTCAAGTCAAATTAAGATATACAAAGAACACCTACAAAGAAGAACTCCGGGAAAACCACTAACTTTCCCTTGCAATGGGGCTAGCCCCACAATGCCAGGGTTAATTGCTTATTTTTTCTAGGGGAGTCAAATAAAGCTGTATTACATACCTGATCCTTGGTCCAGCTGGCTCCCTCTGGGCTGCTAGACTAGCACCCGCAGCCTTTTCTCCTTTGGGCTCCAGCGGTCTAAGGACCACAGACATCATCACATCTAATGCAGATCAATTGGCCTGCATTAAATGGGAGGATGACAAGGTACATTCTATATCAGAGATAGGGGATTTCTGACTGCTGCAGGATGGAGGATCATGTGAGTAAACCTTCTTTACTTGAGCCCCCTAGAACAAAATGAGCATTCCACCCTTACAGTGTGGGGGTAGCCTTGCTGCAAGGGTAAGTTTGTGATTTTCACCGAGTTCTTCTTTAAAAAGAAATACATTGAATGCAATTAATACAAAGATACTTTCATATGTGTAGTCTGCAGGCCAATTGTATTTGTCCACAACCACCCATTGTTCAGGTTTATTTAAAGTGCCCTTTCATTACAAAAATTAAAAAGAAAGACAGTAAATGGGTAAACTTGCAAAAGAAGAATGTTAATATTTACCATCCCCACTGCCAATGCTCCCAGAACTGTGCTCTGCTTGGGAGAAATCCTCCAGTGATTTGGTTAGGAAACTGACACTTCTCAGAGTATCCATCTCCTGTTCTCCTGCAGCAATCAAGGTTCTTCCTATCAACCTCCACATCACTACTGTGTCCAGTAATGACATAAAGGTTGGTGGGAGTAACTACTGACCACTGCAGAGGGACTGAGAAATCAAAACTGGAAAACATAAATGGAGCAGTATTTTGACAGAGCAGACAACAGGAAAGGTTTGAAAGTATTAACATTTTTTGTAGTGTAATATTCAGAGCAGTTATGACCATCAGACAGCCGTGTTAGTAAAAAAAGTATTTATTTTTCTCAAAACGCTCCAACAGAAACAGCTTTGCTTCAGCAAATAAAACAAATGAAAAAAAAACTCCTTGGCAATATAACAGTAAGTCCAGCTCACCGCCTGTATACATATGTCCGGTCTCAGGGTTAGTGTCCTCGGCCTGCTCCCAGAGAATAAAACACAGACACAGATGCCCAGCAGCTTCTCAGTAGCAGAGAGTCCACAGCTCCACACATTGTCCTGCTCCAAAAACACCTCACAGAACACTGCTGGCTGGCTTCCTGTGCACTTTGAACACTCCCAGCAGGTTGGTTAACCCTTACCAGGCCTGAATGCCTCTAGTCAGAGTTGGAGGCTCTTTCCCACCCGATATCTCTCCGAGCCTCCGGATTCTGGGACCCATTTCAGGACTACCAATCCTGGGAAGACTGTATAGCAGTTTCCCTGCTAAAAAAACTCACCCAGAACCCCTCACCCTGCATTGATGAGAACCTCTGATAAAACTATATTTTTTTCCATCCCCTTAAAGGGACCATGATTTAAATAGCTGGGAGATATAACATCCTTTCAGGACGCATTCCTGGCATCCTGTACAGTAGGTTTTCCTGTTTGGAAAAATGTCCTTAATGACAGGGTCACCTTAATACATTTTTAGCCCTGCAGGCCTACAATGATGAACTGAAAGGTTTTCGGTCACAAGCAAGATTTAGAGCAGACTTAAAACAATGCAGAAACCATTTTCTCAATAAATTTAATTCAGCCATATCATACACTTATTCAAAATGGCCATAGGCAAAATAAATGTATGGGGTTAATCACTAAGCTGCTGAATGCAGCCAAATGATTAACCGAGCCGAAGTGAAGGTAGCCAAAGCCTTTTCGACTATTCACTGCAGCCCTGTACGACTATTCTTAGCTGTACATCGGCTGCATTCATCCTGCTTCACCTCCCTTCGGTTCAGTCGTACATCATCAGCATGCTCAGCTGGACTGAAGGGAAGAATCTGTTCGCCTGAGCCAATGCAACCTAATGAAAACTGTCATTGTAAACAACAAAACAAAAAAAGGCATGGGGTCCCCTCCCAATTCATACCAGACCCTTTAGGTCTGATAGGAATATTAAGGGGAAGCCAAATGGCAAAAAAAAGTAGTTCCTCCTAATATTCCAAACCAAACCCTTAATCCAAGCACTGGCCTGGCAGGCAGGAAAGGGGTGGACTAGCGAGCGCCCCCTCCCTGCACCATACCAGGCCACATGCCCTCGGCTACTACCCTACAACCCTGGCCCAGTAGTTGTAGGTGTCTGTGGGCAGGGGTGCTCATCTACATCTGGGTACCCCTTTCATAAAGTCACCAACTAGTGACACTATTTTAATACCGTGTACACCAGAAACCCCAATGTTACATATTGTATTGCAACTGAGCAGTGATTTTAGGAAATTACAAAAAAAGATCACGATAGAAGTAACCTACAAAAAAGCTTATTTTACTTAAAACCTTGTTCACATTTAAAGTAAGTAGTGCAATAATAATAATAATAATACATGTTTTGTACGTAGTTCTTTTTACAACATTTACCTAAGCAAACTAACTGTATATCTAGATGGTGCAAGTCGATGACTATTGATTGCTTGTCAGCCATTTCAGAAAGCCTATCAGGATATATTGGCAATCAGGTAATTAAATAGTGCCCATCCCCCCTTCTTGTAGTTTTATTAAATCATTTACTTTTTAAGTGTTCTAATCAAGATGGATCACATATTCAAGCAAACTAATCTGATTTAGCAATTA